AAAAAAAAGCTAAATCATTAAGAAACAAACCAGAAAAAGGTTAGGTAATTGAAAAACAAAATGGGTTAGCGTCTATTTAAATATCTAAACTCACTTCTAAGTGACGATCCTGTAAAATACAAAAATAAAAAAAGGAAGAAATGATGTGATTAGTAGTTACTCTATTATTTCTATTCGAATATATCTACCAAATGTGACCTGCGGCTACAGCATGACATAAAAGAAAAAACAGTGGAAGGATTTTTTAATAGCATCACCAGACTGTCAAACCCTGATTTCGATTAGTTCTGCGTTTGAGGCATTTCAATTGAATGCTTGAGGATTAGAAAATTAAGTGATAACAAGCGAGCCCTATAGATTTACAAATGTTTTTTTTATTCATCACGACTATTTCCCTGAGGCTGAATTCTCTTGATTATTTTCACAATATTGACGAATTTAAACAAGGTACATGTTTTTGAGACGTTATCCCATTTTTTGAAAGTAACCGCGAGTCAAGAAAGAAAAGTGTTCCAATGCTATAGTTATAAGTCTCCAAATGCTCTATGAGACTACAGACGTCTAATGGTGACTACTCGTGAATAATGTTTGTCGCCAGTAGAAAAGATGAAACCTTGAATTCTGCCTACAAGTCAGCCAAAAGGGACTGAACGGAAGATACCCGTAAATATTAGAATTCCTTTTGTACAGGGCATACCGGGTGCCCCTCGCTGTGAAAGTTGTACTTACCACTTCGTCGCCATTACGGCGTTTTTCTTCCTTCGAATGTAGATCATCAACATCAACTCTGAGCATGTCCTTTGTTTTCCTCACTGAGACGTAATGCCATTGCTCATCGGCGGCTGACGCAAGTTCAAGAGAAGCCTAAGCGGAGATGATTTTTTGGCAGTAAAAAATTACCATATAGGAATAAAGTGTGCCGAGTATTTCAATTTAATCTTTGCGCTTCTACAGTGTGCTACGTAATTCAAAGACAGGCCAAGTAAAGAAATTTGCTGTTATTTGTTGTGTGTTAAGGCAGTAAAGAGTCGCAAAAGTCAGCAGTGCTCATTTCCGCTCGGATGCGGTAGCATATGGTATGTGGGTGCAAAATGGTCCGCTGCTCACCCGATCATCTCCAGCAAACGCAACCAAAACTCCGTTTTCAATCTTCAACGCCAACAAATCATCTTCTTCTGACTGAATAGTCATCAGCGTTCCAGTTGGTCTGCGGGTCTTGAATCTTAGCGA